TTCATCAACATTTTCTCTCACTGTCGCTAATGATCTAGTAACTATTGGAATAACATTCGTCTTTTTTTAGTTTCCATATTCTTGCACTTTCTTACTTCAGATCATTGTAATTAGTGCTTTTTTATGCGATTACCAAATGGGCAAGATGGGTCTATCGACTTACTTTTTATGTCTTCAATTACAGTGATATCAGGTCTATTATCATGCTCTCTTTGTTTGTCAGTCTGTATAGGGAAATCCCATAAAATCTTTCAGTCCTATGACTCGGGTACTTTCTCTGGCTGATGCATGTGTAATGGCGGACTAACGTACTGAATTGAAGCTTCGAACCTGTTTTGCCCTATACAAAAAGTGTGGTATCGAGCGGATGTTCGAAAAGGAATTCGAAGCATGCTCGAGAGAATTCTAGACCGCGACTGAACTATTTCTCGGCCTTTCCAAACCCCCCATCTTTTCGCACAGCTTCTAGGGAATTAGTTTTGCCATATTGTCATGCCTCAAGTTCTTATGCTCTTTTTTGCGCTAGCTTGGGACATTCCGAGGCCATGTGCGCCACTGTCTCGTCTTCCGTGCCATATACTCGACCTAAATGAGACACATCTTTCCCATACACTAATTTCCTCATATTGTTTGTGTATTATGCCTGATCTTGAGCTGCATTAATTGTGATCTGTCATATTTTCAAACAGCTTTTATCTTTATTCAGGATTTACTACTTATTTCATCGGTCCCTTTTCTAAACTGCCCGTGTAGTGTCTTTCATGCGGTTTCGTGTTCTTTTTGTACTTCTTTGCCATTTCCACATCTAGAGGCCCCAAATGCATAATTTCTATTCGCTGCCGTTAGTAGATTCTCTCTAAAATTTAGATATTTCTCCAAGCCGTCAATGTCTATTCTTACGCAATCTTCTCCATTCAAACCTCTTACTCCTTCAGTTCGTTTCAAATACATTCTATCTACGTCTGCTACATCTGGTGTGCTCCATACAGTGTCAACTTCTTCCTTGTTTTTGCAATTCTTCCTTTGTCCATCCTATGATACCAGTCTTATGATTGATACTGCTCGTGAGTAGTTGATAGTTGATATGATATTTCTACCATTTTGTTTCGACTTAAACGTGGTTCTGAATCTTCGAACATACTCTTTGCTTACTTGATACTTCATCTCCTCGTGTTTTATTCCATCCGCCTCCAAGATCCCTAAATACTTATAACCCTTTCCTTCCTCATTACATTTCATTATGTTTTCATCTGGCATATTAATTGCTTCTCCTCAAACAACTTTGCCTTTCTTCATTACTAAAACAGCACACTTGAACAATTTAAATTCCATTTACATACATACATCATACACCCACACACACACACACACATATGTGTGTGTGTGTGTGTATATATATATATATATATATATATATATATATATATATATATATATAAAAATGCCTCATACACACACAGCCAAACATATGTAAAGTACACGTATATATACATATACGCATGTATGCCTGCATGTGTGTGCATAAGGGATTGTTTAAAGTATGTAATACTCCATTCTAAATGCAGGTTAGTTTGTAAAACATCTGCAAGTGAATATGCTTTTTATTCAGTCCGTATGCATTGGGCTGCTTATCACGGATTCAGCAGAAGGCAATTTTTGATTGATTTAACTAAAACGACTATTCAGGTTCATTGGTTGTCTGATTTGTTTATTATTCTGAAATTTCCATATCGTCCTTTCTCAACCCTGATTGCCAATGTCAGTTTTAGTCTTTTCTGTTTTACAAGGTTGATCTCGTACATATTTTATTCTTAAGTTTATTTTCTCACATGTTTTGTCTGTCGTAATTCTCTGGACACAAGAGTGATTGGCAGCATAGAGGCCAGTTGGGTTGTTTTATGTGTGAATTGAAGAGTATGTATGACAAGGAATGGTGCAACTGTGCGGTTCCACAATTTGAAGCTGACTGTCTCTCCCTCGCCCGCAGGTTCCAGCGCCCATCCACGAAGCAGGACAGCGCCATGACCCGGTTAAAGTGGTCCTCCCTGTGGGCGGGCTGTCTCCTGGCAGTCGTCGGCCTCACCGCCGCCCACCCGTTCCTCTACATGAGAGGTACCAGACACGGTAGGATCACATAATTCAGTTTACTTTCCAGCTAGTCTACAGTAGATGCTTCTCCTGCGTAGTAGCCTAGATGCCCACGAATAACCTCCCCAGACGGGTAACTATTTCCCGCTAAATAACCGCACAGCACGGCCCGCACATGCACAAAACGAGCGTTCCGGTCCTCTGGGACTCCGTTGCATCTGAACAAAGAAATGTTAACTTTTTTTTTTTTTGTAAATTCGACGCAGCAAAAGAAACTAAGTGTTTCCTTTTATACGTTAGCTGTTTGTTTTGACTGCAAACGATTTCGATTTCATGAGGTTTCTATTGCAGTTTGCTGAGAATCTTGAAGTGAAGTGGTTCTCATTTAACCCTCTGACTTCATTTGGTTAATTACCGCCTTAAATTATTCTGTCATCTGTTTAACGACTGGTTTTGTGCATTGCTTTAAATCTATTCTGCATGTTATTTAAGACTGTAAATACAGACCAACTGAATTCCCGACATAATCTGCATGATTATGTCTGAGCAATCTCCTGGATGACGGCGACTGTGCCCTGGGCAGCTGAGCCGTAAATAGCCGACCCCTGAGCCCTGAGTGGCAGAGCCCTGCATGGCTGAGCCCTGAGTGGTTGAGCTCTGCTTGGCAAAGCCCAAAGCGGCGAAGCCCTGAGCAGCTGATCCCTGTGTGCCAGAGCCCTGAGCGGCTGGGCCCTTTGGAGCAAATGTCCAATATTTTTGCTTGGGAAAAAAAAACAATATACTTGTAAATGAATGGAAACATATGACAACTTATAGGTATCTGTACCTGCTTTTGTTGGTCTTGCCTATTTCGCTGTTATATGCCTTATATATACAGTCACCCACAGAAAAGAGAGAAAACCTGAAAATGAAACAAAACCGAACTTGGAAAATGGCTCCTTTGTCCTCACCGAGTGCAGTGACGTCATCGGCACGAACACAATGCTCTATCATTATAAGTGTTTGTTAATGTTATTTCACTGGGTGTGATAATTGGACTATGTTGACTTTAGTGAAGTCAACATGTAAAGATAAAAAAGCAACAGCTTAGAGATAGATTAAGAGCTTATTTACATATTGTTAAAAGAAACATACTGATAGATGATAAACATAGTTAAAGTGATGGTTTTTTATCTCCCTGTATATAGTGTATATTGTGTTTTATGTTTATGGACCATATCATCAAACTGCATTCCTACCTTGAAATCATGTATGTGCTAAGAATAATGTCCTGCTTATTAATATTAACTTGAGCTTCGAAATGCTACTTCGACTGACCTGTATAGGAAGAAGACCTCTTGGAAATTCTTCACTGGCCTGCTGTGCTAAGGACTTGACTTCCAATCCAGCATTACTATGACAATTTTGGTCGGATTTCTGTCGCTTCTTACTGCATTTGGCATTTTTTTTCTCTCTCTCTCATTTCTTCTTCCACACTGGACGACTGGCACTGTCAGCCGAACCCCGTGACCTCTTCCGCTGACGCCTGACACAACCTCCTCTCAGCTTCAGCCGTTTCCCCGACCAACAGCTGACTGGGACTGCCTAGGCCTCCCCTTCCAGCCCTTGACTTAGCTGACAAATATCCTGACCCAAATACTGACCTGACATGACGATCCACATCCGACGCCGACCTAACGGCTCGCTCTGACCTCCGAAATTTCACAGGTTACGGGCGGAACATCAGACCCCTGCCTTGCGTGTCCAAGGGCGGGGAGACGGGCGTGTGTATGTTCGCGTGGGACTGCATGAAGGCCAACGGCACACACCTGGGCACGTGCATCGACAGGTGAGTCAGCGTCGGAGAGGACTTCGACGTAATAGGCTAAGGTACTTCTCGACAGGGTTGTTACGAAGGGAAATCGTATTTAACTAGGAAATGAAAAAAAAGTTGTCAAAGTTGGACTTCTGTCGGATCCCTGATTCGGATTTCATTGAAAGCATAGCTGCAACGAGGAATTATTCATCAGTGAAGTCATTCTTATAAATTTTTAATAGTTTTGATGTGAACTGTATTCTAGATGAGAGCTTATTCCTTGTGATTACTTCTATTTGAAACACATTACTCAATCTTAAAAGTTACACAACAGTTTTTGTAAAAGTGAAAAGTCTAATTTTTGCTTAATTCACAGATTCTACTTTGGGTCATGTTGCAAGATGGCGCACGCCAGGCCGCCCCCGGGCCTCAACGAAATCCCATCGGGCGGCGGCAGTGGTGGCACGAAGCCCATGGGCGTCGACGCCTCAGGGCAGCCGAGCGCGGAGAATGACGGGTCCAGCGAGAGCCAAGAGTCGCCCGGGGATTCCGACGCTGCCAGCGGCTCTGCTTCTACCTCGGGAACTGGATCTACTAGTGGCGAAGCAGAAGGCCCTGCACTTGCTGCGGGAACGGGATCTACTGCCGGAGCAGAGGGAGTTGGGCCTACTGGCGGAGTGGAAACCCCAGCATCTACCGGCGAAGTAGATGGCTCTACATCAACAGGAACAGGAGCTGGGTCTACGGAAGAAAGCGGAGATGCATCTGTTAGTGGAGCAGAAGGCCCGGCCTCTACTACAGGAACAGGGGAAGATGGATCTACAAGTGGAGTAGAGTCTCCTGCATCTACCACAGGATTCCAGGATGGTGAAAATGCTGGCGAAGTAGATACCCCTTCATCCACCACGGGAACAGGAGCTGGACCTGCTAGTGGATCAGAAAGCTCTACATCCACCGCAGGGGAAGGAGCTGATTCTACAAGTGGACCAGAAGCGCCTGCATCCGCCTCAGGAACGGAAGATTCCGGATCCACTAGCGGGGTAGATAGCCCTGCCTCAACAGACGCAGAAGGCACCGGATCCACTGGCAGCTCAGATGGCCAGGGCTTCGACGCGAC